CTAGAAATCCCTTTAGCCTGGGTCCAGCACTTCCCCCAGTTCAGTCTTTCTTTCTCAGGTGCTTTCAGGAATCTTCTTGTATGGGGAGTGAAGAATAACAGATGATGTCACTCCCTGCCTTATATAGCTTTAGCATATGGCGGGAACCCTGTGTTTCAAAACTTGGTTCCCAGACAAGTTTGTGGAAAAATACTGACATCCCAAGATGGAGTCCAGAATCATGTGGCCTGGTCACATATCGTTGTAGAGTCATAGCAGCTATTACCACTACAGGCTGTTTGGAGTGTTCTCAGGAAAGCTCACCAGGTGGGAGATAAGCATCTCCTAAGGCCTATTGTTTTCCCTAATGGCCTATTACCCTGAATAGGCCCTTCCCAACCAACTATCTAGACTGAAAGCACCTTGTCTGATGGGCATTATCCAGTTGTAACTACATTTGAAGTACAGATACATAATCAATATTTATAACTTCAGATACAAAAATGATACGTGCATACAAATAGGATAATCATATTCAGCAAATCATAACTTTTCCAATGACACCTTACATGACCCGTCTTGCATAAAATAAATCATAATTATGCTATAATCATATAATAATATCACTATGAAGAGTATGGGGTGCAGTGTCACAGGACCCTAAAAGATCTACTTATAATGACAAAAATGGAAAGATTCACTGTTTGGGCACAACAATGTTTCACCATTTCTAACAGACCTTCCATTCATTTTGGACTGTCTGCTTTCACTAAATCATCTGGACTTTCACTTATATAGAACTAACAGAATCTAGCAGCTATATCTTCTTAATTCACAAATTCAAAATAAAAAAATATTTTCATACCTTACGGTTTTTAGATTTTTAAAGATCTTAGTGTATTTAGTCCGACCCTCCCTATCACCCGATTAGGGAAACCCCCTCCAACATGGGACTTTAATGTGGAATTAGTAGGACTGCTGAGTTCATTACATCATCTTTCAGTGAAAACATTGGTTTTAGTGGCCATTGTGTCTGGTCTGTCTGGTTGGCAAAATTAAAGTTTTAATGGCCTGGTCATCATACATTATTTTTCATAGAGATTAGGTTTCTTTTAGGCCTAATCAGAGATTCCTTCTTAAAGTGGTTTCTGACTTTCATATTAATCAGACCATTCATTTACTGGTTTTCTTTCCCAAATCTGATGCTAGCAGTTCTGAAGGAAAATTACATACTTTTGTAATTTTGAGAACATTGTATTTTTATTAACGTATAACCAAACCATTTAGAGTCTCGTCTATATTATTTATAGCCTATATTGAAAGAGTAAAAGGGAAAGCAGTTTCTTCCAGATAGTCTAATACAGTCTGAAATCTGTTATTAAATAACTAAGCTTGATCGCCTTGCTTCGATAAAAGCTCACTCTGCTAGAACTCAGGTAGCATCTGTGGCTCCCTTTAAAAATGTCCCCATCTCCAAAACTTGTAAAGCTGCCTCCTGGAGTTTAATTCGTACACTAATGAAATGCTATGCATTTCATTTGACACGGTCTCGCATGATATTCTTACCGATAAACTAGGCAAATACAATTTAGATGGGGCTACTATAAGGTGGGTGCATAACTGGCTGGATAACCGTACTCAGAGAGTTGTTATTAATGGTTCCCAATCCTGCTGGAAAGGCATAACAAGTGGGGTTCCGCAGGGGTCTGTTTTGGGACTGGCTCTGTTCAATATCTTCATTAACGACTTAGATATTGGCATAGAAAGTACGCTTATTAAGTTTGCAGATGATACCAAACTGGGAGGGATTGCAACTGCTTTGGAGGACAGGGTCATAAAATGATCTGGACAAATTGGAGAAATGGTCTGAGGTAAACAGGATGAAGTTTAACAAAGACAAATGCAAAGTACTCCACTTAGGAAGGAAAAATCAGCTTCACACATACAGAATGGGAAGAGACTGTCTAGGAAGGAGTACAGCAGAAAGGGATCTAGGGGTTATAGTGGACCACAAGCTAAATATGAGTCAACAGTGTGATGCTGTTGCAAAAAAAGCAAACATGATTCTGGGATGTATTAACAGGTGTGTTGTGAACAAGACACGAGACGTCATTCTTCCGCTCTACTCTGCTCTGGTTAGGCCTCAGCTGGAGTATTGTGTCCAGTTCTGGGCACTGCATTTCAAGAAAGATGTGGAGAAATTGGAAAGGGTCCAGAGAAGAGCAACAAGAATGATTAAAGGTCTTGAGAACATGACCTATGAAGGAAGGCTGAAAGAAGTGGGTTTGTTTAGTTTGGAAAAGAGAGGACTGAGAGGGGACATGATAGCAGTTTTCAGGTATCTAAAAGGGTGTCATAAGGAGGAGGGAGAAAACTTGTTCACCTTAGCCTTTAAGGATAGAACAAGAAGCAATGGGCTTAAACTGCAGCAAGGGAGGTCTAGGTTGGACATTAGGAAAAAGTTCCTAACTGTCAGGGTGGTTAAACACTGGAATAAATTGCCTAGGGAGGTTGTGGAATCTCCATCTCTGGAGATATTTAAGAGTAGGTTAGATAAATGTCTATCAGGGACGGTCTAGACAGTATTTGGTCCTGCCATGCGGGCAGGGGACTGGACTCGATGACCTCTCGAGGTCCCTTCCAGTCCTAGAATCTATGAATCTAGAATCTATGAAACTGGGGAGGATTCTTGAGCTGGTGCTAGCTTTGGCAAGGCAGTTTTTCAGTCCCCATTTGGTTAAGACTGTTGACCCACCACAGGAGGTCATTGTTTGGGAATCATCAGGAGTGTAATACACATAAACAATCACTGGAAGAAAAGCTGCTACTTACTTTACAGTAACTGATGTTCTTTGATATGTGTTACCTACTTGTAATCCATGCCCTCCTTCCTCACTATGAGATTCTATAGTCATGTAGATTCTGGTTAGCAAATGAACTGAGATGCAGTTGGCCCTGCTGTGCCCTTTTATGCCTTCTGGGGTGTGAGGGTAGCTAGGGCACAGGCCTGGGCCAACAGGCACTGCTGGCCAAAATGCTCTGATCTCACTACTGAGGGCTCACGTGCACCAAGAGTAAAATACATTTAGAGAGCACATCTCAAAGAACGCCAGTTACTGTAAGGTAACCATCTTACACAATTAACCAACGTACGAGCATTTTGTGTATTATGTAGCTTTGACTAAACCTGTGTGAAAACAAACTTGTGCTGAAAACAAACTTGCTGATATTGAACTGACTGGACAGAGTACACATCTTTCAAAAATTAACAAAATTCTGGATTCAACCATCTTACCTTTCATGTTTTGAGTTCCCCAGTTTTCTGTCTATTGATACAACAAACGGTGATACTGACTCCTTCACAAACACACATTTGGAGAAATTTGGATCTTCATTTTTAAATGCTGCATGAATAAGATGGAGCTTAACTTTGCCTTCCGTAAACTAAGTTTTCCACTGCTTCCTCCTATTCTGGGTTCAGCAAATGGACTTTGTTTTTGGTATCAGTCATGCTGGAGAAATAAAGGAGAGATTCCATAGCTTCTTTTTTTAAGTTAGGTCAAGTCAGATTTCCATTGACACTTTGAAATTAGTTATCAGCTTGTAACCTGTCAAGTCCTTCTGAAACCACCTTTAATTGTTTTTATAAGTAAAGTGCTTCTGTCTAGTTCCTTGATGTATAAAATATGTGCTATGTTTTGATCAAAGTCCTCTTTGTGCTCAGGGCATACTTTAACATGCTTATGCAAATACGGAGACTCTGTGTCCCTGAGAGTTCCACAGACTATCATTGAAAAACTTGGGAATCAACCCTTCTTTTTTTTTTGTAAACTAGCCATGAGGTTGGTTATTGCCAAAGGATCTTTGTCCCCACAGTGTGCTTTAGTTATTACTTTCTCAATATGATTTAGTATGCTAAATACAGATAGCTCACTTCATTCCTGTTTTAGAGATGGTTTTGGTTTCCGCACTATTCCCACTTTCAAGCGATATTCCCTATACTTAATCAGTCTTAAGTCTAAAACCAGAATGCACATTTTAAGTGGGCTGACTGTACATTAGAAGTTTAACACGATTATACCTGAAAAGTTCTCTCCTCTTTTTTTGTTTTATTTTCATATTGTGGGAAAATGGTAATTCCTTCTTTCAGAAGTAAAATCAGTAGCATTGAGTAGGAATGCATTTTTTCCTGTATGGACGCTAGTAGCCATTATTGGATCATCCCTCATGTTTGAGCCTCAGCTTATGATAATGCCAGTTTAGATTATTTTGTTTCTTTATTTTTTCCTCTGCTACTTGGTATCTGTGAGTTAGACTCCAGACAGACAATCTTTAAATTGCTCATTTTATTCTACACTGAAACTGATTTTTTTTTAATATAAAAAGTTACCAAGTTAAAAAAAATTTCTTTTCATTTGTTTTTATTAATTATCAAGTGATCTTTGCCACATTTTGGGTGTTGAAGACAAACAGAAGCTGCTTATGTTCCAAATTTTCTGGAAGGCCTGGAACAGGGAGTTAAATTATAATTTTTAGCTACACTTTCAGGGCAATGTTGTCATCAAAAATGTCTTGCAAGATCATTGAAATTGTCAGTGTTCTGTTTTTCTGCTTCAATAAGGAGTTTCATTCATTGGCATATTTGATAATCACCTGGAGAATTTTGTCAGAGTATTAAGACTCCAGAGAGAACAGAGAATCTTGTGTCCTTTAAGCAACTTTTATTGCTCTTTCTTTCCAATCAGATTTGTGGATGTGTCAAATTACAGATTCAATTATTGTCTTAATGAGACAGTCACAATTATTTTGGTACATCATAAAATGTGTTTTTATTATAGTATTAATCATACGAACATTTGTTCTTTAAAAAAAAAAAAAAAAAAAACACCTCTGGATTTCCACAATAGAGTTATGTATTTATCATATTATTACTGACTAATCACTTATCCCGTTAACAATTGTTTTTGAATGGATTCTTGCTAACTCAGTTGAGGTGTTAAATCAATATTTTATTTGAATAGATAAATCTATATTTGAAAATGGAGAAGAAGCCTAATAAGAAGGAGGAACTGACACTAGTAAACAATGTTTTAAAACTTGCTACTAAACTCCTGAAGGTAAGAATGAAAATGGAGTACAACAATATTAGATATGATCAAGAAAGAGAACATCTTGCTTAATAAGTCACCTTCCTAGCATTTCTGTAGTATGCACTATATACCCTTCCCCTTTAAACCCACTTTCCCTAATAGTCTGTGTTGTCAGCAGGACACTTTCTCTCATATGCTTCAGTCTGTTGTGTTCTGTCATCACTGTGGATTGCAAATAGAAATTTATTAAAATCATTGTTAAGTTTCACTTTGTAACCAACAGTACATGGAGAGTATAGTGAGGGGAGCCTTTGGGATAGGCAATACACTGGACCAAAGAAGGAGGAGTCTATAAGCTTGCTTTGTTTTTGATCTCTGCTCTATATAAGGTGCTAAGTAGTCAATTACTGTAACATTAATACTCTTCTGTAAAGCTAATCCTCCTAAATGCTGCAACAGTTGTTGGTTATTTACTGTTTAAAATTAAAATCAACTTATTTGCACATATTTAAGAATCCTGTCATAGAACTGAGAGAAGTGGGTTGTTTTTGTTTCTTTTAAAAAAAAAGGGGGGGGTTTTCTAGTCATGTTCATTTCTATGCCGGTTGCAGAGTATTTCATCCAGTCTAAATTTTAAATTATCTAGTTGTAAATGATACTTAAGTAAATGAAACTATGCCTGTGCATAAAATTATTCACATTTTTACAGGTGAACTCATAGTATAGGTATAGAATAGATCATCATGGGAAGTGTTTTGAAAATATTATACTTCCTTTTGTCAACTGATCAACGGATTATGATTGAATGGATGGAAGTGTTCACATGTCAGATTGATTGTGGCTTAGGAAGTCATTCACCAGAACCTTCTATAGAAGCCCTTGTATTCTAATGCACCTTACTCATTATTCTAATGGACTTATTCTCTGCGAATATGGAGACAGCTACTGGAGTAACTCTTCCAACTTGCTTCTGGAGGAAGGATTATGCAATTTTTTTCTTTTCTGATGAGAGCTTAGAAGTGCTGGTGTATCAGACTGGTTTTGACAACTCACCAATTATTTGAACCTCTACAGCTGTAACTGTACAGCATAGCCTGGCAGTATTGGATCTGGCAGATGCCAAATCTAGATCCATACACTATTCAGTGTCAAGAAACTGTTTTGAGAGGTATTGGTCACTACAGTGAAGAACTCCACTGAACTAAACATACTACATTGAGTGTGATTAAGAAGTTTCTATCTGTTTTAGAGAGAGAACTGATTCTACCTATATTTCCTATTTTAAGATAAGTAATCTCTGTCATACCAATAAAATCTTTCAAGCCTGAAGAAAGTTTTTAAGATTACTCACTCTGGAGAAGGAAAAAAACCAAAACCCTCTTGCTTTCACTCTCCTAACTATAGCTTGGAAAGAGGTTACAGATATGCCTTTCACTCCACTAGAGCTAAGGACTAGTTCAATATCTCCAGTGAAAAAGCCAGAAGAATGCCATCAGGTTACAATAAGGCTATGCTAGCCTGGGCCAACCTGCCCAGGCAGGGTAACCTACCTGCCTCTGGAAATTTCCACCACATGCGTCTGACAAAGTGGGTATTCACCCACGAAAGCTTATGCTCCAATACGTCTGTTAGTCTATAAGATGCCACAGGACTCTTTGTCGCTTTTTACAGATCCAGACTAACATGGCTACCCCTTTGATACTGGGCCAACCTTGACTGCCGAGAGAGAGAGAGAGCGAGAGAGAGGTGTTTTAGAATCTTAGCTGGGTTTGACCAATGGCAAATGAGTCTTGTAGCTAATTAGGCCAGGTTTTCATCAACATCACATCCTACCATATAATTTTGACTTGGTCTGTGCATCTGGCAAAAACAAGGACACAGATTGCATCCTGTTGTGCACTGGGGAAATTGTTCATATCCTAATGGCAGACTAGAACACAGGTGTTTACAGCATACTTCTTGTTATCCGAGAAGGACGGGATTTTTGTCACAATTTGGATCTCATCTGCCCATATCTCCTTGTCCAGAAATCCATATTCAGGATGGAAATCCTAGTGTTCCTCATCCAAAAGAACAACTCTTAGGACTTTGTGTTCAGTGGCCCTCAGAGGCATATCTGTATGTACACATTCACCTGGTTAACTCCTGGTTAGAATACTTTTGTTATGAACAGGAACTCCTAGTATGTGACTATTCCTTTTATTTTATTACTAGCCCCCGAGAGTTTTTCCAGCTGGTAACTGTGGTTGCTGCCCTAAGGAAGGGAAGTATCCTTGATCACCTTGATCGATCGGTCCTTCAGCCCTCATATAGATTGCGCCGATCACAACACGTCTTTCATTCCTCTCGTATCCTGGCCTCCTTCTCCATGTGCGGCCATGTCTTTTCATGATAAAATCGTTCCATCTCTTTGGAGTTCAGCCGAGTGGTTGTTTCAGTTCCTGTGGATACCACTCGGCGACAGCTGCAGTCCATCGATTGTCGGTGAGCCTCGCTATATGCCTGGCCGATCGCATTTTACTATGCCTGCTCTCAACAATGACGTCCTGCACTCCACTCTGCTGTCTGATCACTTCATTGGGAACTCGGTCGCAGATTGAAATTCCCAGAATTCTTCTTTCCATTGCCCTCTCCGTGACAGACAGTTGCTGCTCCTCTGTCTTCATCAGCGCCCATGTTTCGCTGCCATACAGCATTGCTGGCAGTGTTGTTAAGTTGAAGAGGCTGGCGCATGTTACCTTGTTGATTTTTTTCTTGGAGGACATCCTTGATAGAATCGAATGTGCACCAACCTGCTTTCTCTCCCCTCCACCCCCTCTCCCAAGCAGTGAAGTATCCATATTTTTTTTATTTCTTGGGTGATCTCCTGACCAAAACTTCTTTGTTCTAACCTGCCCAGATTTACCTCCATGGATTGTCTTCATTCTCCAAACTCTCAGATCCATCATCAGCTGGAAGATAAGCTCTCTTTTCTTAGTTCAGGATCTGATACATCTACAGGATTCTTGACTCAGCAGTCGAACAAAGTCTCTTAAATCCAACACATGCTCCAGGCCTACATTTCAAGTCCACAGCTCACCAACTGTTTCTAATGTTCTAAACAGGCACACAAGGTGGGTGAAGTGATATCTTTCATTGGACCAACTTCTGTTGGTGAGAGAGAGACTCTTTTGAGCTTACACAGAGCTCTTCTTCAGGTCTAAACATAGACAGTGAGCTGTTCTCTACAGACTGGAGGCTGATCTACACTACAAAGTTAGGTTGGCTTAACTACGTCACTCAGAGCTGTGTATACACCGCTAGGGTGAAAGAAGAACTCTTTAGTAGACCTAGCTACTGCCTCTTGAAGAGGTGGATTTACTACAGAGACAGACAAATCCTTTCCGTCACTGTAGTAAGTGTCTACACTTCAGCATTGCAGATGTGCTGCGGTAGTGTTTCTATGTAGACATACCCATAAACTCTTGGGTCTTCCTCTTACTAGTTTGAGATCACAAGAAACAGTCCCTGACCACACTGCCCACTAAAGTCCAGAGATCTTTGGGCTTGCGACTATTGTGAAAAAACAGATGTCAAGAAAACGGTCAGATCCTCTACCCCCTCAATTGCAGCAGATTCCAGCCTGGATGGATTGAACTTTCATGTGGGCTCAATGTCCTTTCAGATCCTAAAGAGTGTTGCACTTTTGTCAGTTTTTCTTAAATTCAAGAAGGGATAATTAGATCCTCTAGTCTGATTGCCTGTATATACCAGGCCATTACATTTCATCCAGTTACTTCTGTATGTATGTGTGTATATATATGTATGTGTATGTATATCTATATATGTGTATGTATGTATATAATGTGTGTTTAACCAAAACATACCTTTCAAAAAGGCATCCAGTCTTGATTTGAAGAAAACAAGAGATGGGGAATCTAGCACTTCCCTTGGTAGTTTGTTCCAATGGTTAATAACCCTCTCCATTAAAAATCTCCATCGAGTGAACCTCCTTGCCTACCTAATCAACAAGCAGTTATTCCACCCAGATTGATCCCCAGATGTGGAGAATGGACATATTTTCATTCAACATCTCTGATCTCTGAATGACACCTTCCTTGCATTAACTCCCCTGCTCCTCCTCTTGAGTAGTCAGGAAAATCCAGTGTGAAGATAATTTTATTGTCCTCTTGTGGCCCACAGAAACCCTTGTCCTCATTCTTTCAGATGAGTCTCTGAGCTATGGCTTCCCCACCTCTCTCAAGTACTTGTGCGTTAGGGATCAGTGCTTCATCAGAACCAGAGTCATACATTTAACAGCTTTGAGGTTGTCTGGTTGATACTCCAGTCTTTCCCCCTTCAGCAATAGAGATTCTCGTTCCTTCCAGAAAGCCCTCAACTGGCCTGGGCTTACCAACATAGTTGGGAGTCATCTTTCATCCTCATCAGGCCTCCACTGGATTTTTGCTAGAGTTTCTCCTAAAGGGAGAAGGAACTTCACTAGTGGGTCATCATTTGACTTGACTGTACATCATTAGCATTTGACTGGCAGTTCATCCTTATGTCTCACATTTCCTCCCACATTTCAGACCCAGAAGATAAATGGAGTTTTAATTTGGTACTTTATGCTTTCGTTGAAGGTCTTCTATGAACCACTTGGTAAAGCTTCACTGCATTTAAACCAAGTTATTCATTTTTTTTCTTCCTTTCATCATAAACCACTTCACTTGAACAAAATAGTTCTTCTAACATGGTCAGAGCTCTCAAATTCTCCTTTAATCAAAAGAGCCTATTCCAAAAGTCTGGTAACTATGCTTACTACATAAAGGGCCAAAAATCTTTAAAGCTACAATCTTTAGATGTGCCAACATGGCTATCAAAGAGTTCTGCAATACTAAGTTTAAAAAAAGCATCCTTCTGAAATTGCCTCCATTCATTTACCAAGCATTACAAAGCTGATGTGGAAGTCTCCTTAGGCACCTTCTTTGGGTGCAGAATATTTCTGGTTGAACTTCGTTGTTAGATTCCGCCATTTAACAAAGTTCAGAATATTGGTTTAAAATAGTTACCTATTGTTTTGAGATTTTTTTCCCCGTCTTCCTTCTCCCTGACTTTACTGTTTGCTATTTCCCCAGTAGTTGTACCCAGATTTGTGGGAAGGCCACTCTAAGAGAACAGACCAATTTAGTCTCATCTGTTAATTGGTTTTCTTACCGAGTGACCCTCTGCCAGTGTGGAACATCCTGCCTTCTTTGTGATTCTCCTAGGTTCCTTGCCTATGTTTTCTAGCATTGGAGGCATTCTCTAGGTGTTTGGGTGCCAAAGTGACTCTGAAAGGCCAGGATCTGATACCTGGAGAAATAAATTTGCATATTCCTGCCTCCAGAAGCAAGTGGGTAGATCTTCCACAGTAACTGAAGAGGGCTACTCAGAGAATATTAATTAACAGGTGAGACACCATGTGGTCTAATCTCTTAGATATTTCCCTCATATACAATAGTATATTAGAAACTTTAATCTGCATTCACTTTAGTACTTATTGCATATTACTGAATTGTGCAGTTTAGTAAGTTTGTGGGAAAAAATGCGATCAGAAACAAATATGAGCATGCAGGAGACAAGTAACTTTTTTTTTATGACCTTCCGAATCCCTCACACCATGAAAGTTGATGACATTTTTGGCTACTTATGCCTTTGTGTGAATTGCACAGTGGGGAACAGTAATTTTTCCTTTCTCCCACCCTTTGCCTCTCTATTTAGATTTTAACCCATCATGGCTCTTATTCTTTACACCCTTCCAATGTGTATGTCTAGCACCTACTAGAATGGGGCCACAGTCTTAGTTGTGCCTCTAGGAACTACTGTAATACAAGTAATAAATAACAAATGTGCCATAAGAATTATTAACATGGGATGCCATTTGTAAAACTTGATTTTATAATTACCAACGGGTATTTTGGATATATGTGAACAACTGTTTGTTACAGAAAGTTATGAGTCAAAGATAAAACAATAATAAAGTAATGTTTTAAAATATTTTAATAACTTTGGCACTATGCAAAGTGTCATATAACACTATTTCACATAAAACCATTGTTCAGTAGTGAACAAGGTAATCGCTGCAGCATTATGAATATTTGCCATGCAATTGTTTGTGTTTTCTTGATTTTTTTTTTAAGTGATTTCTTAAATTTGGTTTCTTTTCATACTAAGAAAATAAGTGTTTTCACCTGGAGACATGCCCTTTGGATAACAAACTGAATTAATGTCTTGGTAGTATAGGACAGAAATTAGTACTACAAAAAAAAAAAAAAAAAAAAACCACGAGAACTGTCATATTAACCCTTTGGCACAATAGATAGCTCTTCTGCTAAGAGCTAATGTGTAATGTATTATTGCTTAGCATCAGTATATTTCAACTCTTGTCATGAAAAGTTGTAGGTTTCTTTTTGTTTTTGCAGCAGAAGTGAGGAGGCATCAGAGCATGAGTTTTTGTTAAAACCCTCTTTGACATTATTTTACAGTACAGCAGCCAGTCTGAAGTGACTGAGCTCTTTAACTTTCCCTATTATTCTGCTCAGCCCTTAAATTCTTGCCCTTTTCACTGCACAGCACCCTCTTTCTTTTGGAAGTCTAGTTTTCCCAGTATTTGTTGGATCCAGAGCTGGAACTTCAAGATGCTTCTCAAGCACATACACTGTGCCAACAACAAAATGGGCAGTTAAATCAGCTGCCTGGCTGTCCTGGTGCAGTAATTGGAGTTGTAAGCAGTTTTTTTCCTTAAAATATTTTGTCTTGTTTGTCAATACTGTGACCCCTTTACAGCCTCAAAGGCATTCAAAGTTACATATCACAAATCTTGTTAATGTGCTTAATGTGATCATTGAAGTATTAGTTCCATATTTCCTGACATTAAAATTGCTTTTGTATAATTTGTGTGTTTTAATTATGTAAATATATTTCCATTGGTAGGAATTGGACAGCCCCTTCAGGTTATATGGGCTTACAATGAACCCACTGCTTTATAACATCACCCAAGTTGTCATCCTGTCTGCTGTTTCTGGTGTTATCAGTGACTTGCTTGGATTTAATCTAAAGGTGATCACTTCCAGTATCATGTATTGATCCAGAACGCACAAAATGTCACAATTGTATGTGCATAGTGACCTCAGTAAAAATACATAGTAAAGTTAAGAATATTGTTTGAAAATAATTTCATCAAATTTAATGTACATAAACAGAGGATCTTCATTCTATTCTTAGAACACATCAACCACCAGAAAGCTTTTCACATTTATTTCTTCCAACCTTGGGCCTTCATTTAGCAGATACACTTCTGTACAGGCTCAGTTAATTTATTTAACTAATCTTACAAGACCTACATCTAATTTAGGAAATTATCTCTGCCTCTTGACCATTATTTTTTACTGCTAGCTTGTTTGCAGTTCTTGGAGTGCTACAGAAAATGCACATATCACCTCTTCCCCCACAATATGCATGATGTCACAACATGATGTAGGATCACCTTGTCATACTATGCATCATGTCACCCCATGATGAGAGAATGAACTGATCATTTAACACTGAAATCTGAACTGTCATAATTTCCAGACTTAGGAGATAGGGGAATATCAGTTACAAAAGCTTGCAGTAGTATCAGGCCTCTAGTCCTGATGCTTAGCCATTCATTTTTCTAAATAGATTACAAAAATATCTGTGTTCTTTCACAAGTAAAGGAATGTAACAGTGATTCTGTACACTTTAGACACAGCGGTATGTTTTAAAATGTAAACACAGGGATGTACTGTAACTTTAATATTTAACTGAAAATTCATGCAAAACTTAAAATGTTCATTGCTGCTTTCACTTTTTCAGCTCTGGAAGATCAAATCATGACAATACACAAAGAGAAGATGTAGCACAGTATTCTGGCAAAATGCATTGATTGACTAAACTGCCTCAGAGCAGTCACTGAATCTGTGCTTTGGAAGCTATGGCCTCTTCAAGGATGTAGTTTGGAAAACTGAAGTGTTTACATCTGATTGTCTTGTGCAATCTTTATATTTATTTTATCATCTCAGTTTTTTATGTTTTAGCTGACATTTTGTATTTTATTTTCAAGTATTGGTATGCTTAGTTATGGAAAGGGTTAGAAAACTGATATCCAGTTACTTGAGATCCTGGTAATTGGTCACACTAAATTACTGTATCTTTTGTGAAAGCTAAATACCAATGCTAAGCTTTTATACTTCATAATTTATGGGTAAAAACAGAATATTTGTAGATTGTTACAGTAGAAATGATACATATTTACAAATAACTTAAAGTACTGACAATACAGTATGACAGATAGTGGAAATGTTTTATGTTAACGCTAGAAGCAAGCTGGTTTCTTACTTTTTTTGAGTGAGTCCAGGATCTAAACTGATTAAGCTGCAGTTTAATCACCCTTGGATATTAATAAGGTATTACATAACAGGTCAACAAGTACTCTTTAATAACACTTTTATTAGAGCAATAATTGTAAATGGTTAACATGCTGTAAGATATTTTGATAAAATTAACTATTGTATTTATTTGAAACACTGGGCTATTCGCACAGATTCAACTGTGCATGCTCAGTATGTGCACTTTTTATTGTTACTTTTAATTAGGACCTTTATATATAGTAAAGGGAATATATTATGGTGGACTGTGGAGCAATATATTATTTTTGCAATCTGAGTATTTGGACTTCACTTATGAGTGAAAAAGTTGTTAATGGAAGATGGTAAATTATATACTCTCAAGAATAGGACAGATACTCTCCCATAGTACACTATAGTATATGCTGTTTATACCACACTTAACTTTAAGAACAGTTGTTAAAAAAAGAAATGTTTCTATATAATGTAAGCCTTATTTGTTTCCATGCCCACATCTCCTGCAATTATAAAAATGTAGCTTGCAAAATCTATCAACTAAAGCTAGTATGCAGTGTTGTTGTAGTTAAGGCAATTTTTTTTAAATGCTGCTAATGTCAGCATCACCTAGCTTCTCCTCAATGTTTTTATTTAGGTTGCCAAGTCTCCACTCTAAACCCTGATGCTACTTAAAGAGCATGATTTTGAAGGCAGATTTGTTTTGGGGTTTACATTTTAGGTTAGCTCAATTGTGACTCATTATTTCCTTAGCGTATCAGATAGTTTTTGAATATGGAAAAACTAGAAATTCATCCCTTCAGAGTTATTAGTTAGTTTGTGCTTAAACATATAACAACATCCCACTTACAAAACTGTATTAGGAGGGCCAATATCATGTTTGAGTTTCATTAAACATTTTACTTTTAGGGGAATATATTTATGATTAGAATTCGAAAAATCATCTGCTTCGGATTGGAAAAGAGCCTATTACATTTTCTACTATGTGATACATACATATATACACATTAAAAAAATCCATCATACATGACATATTACTAATCCTCTATCATTAAATAGTTGAGGTAATGTATCTTAAACTTGTGTGGTATAAAAAAAATATACAAAGCAACACAAACAAGCATTTTGTATTTTATTTGCCTATGTACTAATGTTTAATAATGACCAAAGTGCATTCTGGTTTTTGAAGGAATGTATTACTGGAGCTTTAAGAACATGTTATTCTTAGTTTCTCATGTGATAAATTTGGCTGCATCTGATCTGTTTCTTCTTCCTCTGTTATCTGATGTTGGGATTGTTTTTAGGAATTAAGTATATTTTATAAAGTTTTTTCCCCAAAATATGGTACAGACCTACACAGAACTTAATTTTGCACAGAATATATTTTAAAGGGGGAGGGCGGGGGAGGGAGAGTACAGCAAGAATTGTGTAGGGGTAAAAGATGAGACTGTTGGTTTTCACAGCCTGTCACTAATTTATTCCAGAATGGAAATATTTTTGAGCAACTTGTGTTGAATATACTGCTTTCAGTAAAAAAAAAAAAAAAAAAAAAAAAGTAACAGTTTGGGTTGAAGATGGAAATTTAGTTTGTAACTACATATACCTCAGCAACTGGCAATATGCTGGATTGTTGCACTAACAGTGGGAGCGTGGGGAGAATAAAATGAGGGTTTGTAAAAAGAAGCGAAGGGTACTTCACTGTAAATGCAGACACATGTAAATTGCTGTCATCAGGTATATCAATAATGCAAGAAAATAAATGAGAGAAATGTTCTACATCCCTTAATATGAAAAAGCCAGTACAAAAATAGAGGTAAGTAGAAATATGGCGGATCTTGTGTGTTAACTGTTGTTTTTTGCCACATGTTTTGTAACTGAAAGTGTGATGAGGCTTGGAATAAAGCATTCTGTGGCCGATGGTATAAAACTGTGCAGTGATCTGTGTTTCTTGTAACTCCACCATATTTCTATTGAATTTATTTGCTTCCTTTGACCTAAATCCAGTTTTGTGATGCTGCAAAGGGTCAGATAACGCTTATTCTATTGGAATTAGGAGTGTCCTCCTTAGGAAAAGGGAGCTAAAGCAAGAATTCAAGTTAAACATTTGAGGTGGCTTGTGAACTGCAATTGTCAATAATACACCTCTTAACCATGGAAAAGGAACAGAAAAATGTACTCAAGATAGTTTTTGTTCATGCAAAGTGGCTTATTTTACCAACAAAGAGCTTTGCAATTGGAAATGTAGATTCCAGACATAAGGGTTACCTCTTATTTGATTCATTTCACTAACGAGTAGCATAGGGCAGCATTGAGCACCCACAACCTTAATTCTTCTTTGAATTACTTGTCCACATGGATCCCATTTCTAGTGCACATGCACCCCATGTGTGTGAAATTTGATTCTTCAGGTCAGCAGTGTCCATTGGGCCTGCACCTATGCACTGCACATCCTTGTGCCCCTTACCCAAGGACATAAAACGCAGAGAAGGCAGTTGCTTCTGACCTCCCATGGCTGAGAGACAGAATTCAGGCAGTGTGCATCTGCTTCCCTATAATCCTATTTCTAGAATTAGAGGTTTTGTGCTTACTTAGTAGTTAGGTAGCTAGTTAACTATTTATCTCTGCTGGCTTAAAAACAAAATCCAAAAAACCCTAGAGCAGTGATCACCAACCTGTCCATTGTGATCGACCGGGTTGATCCTGGAGCCTCTGCCAGTCGATCGCAATCTCTGGCCACTAAAAGTCCGGCGGTGCATTGGGGCTAAGGCAGGCTCCTTGCCTGCCCCAGCCCCAGCCCCATGCCACTCCCAGCAGCGACCAGCATGCCCCTGCTGCCCCTGAGGGGGGAGGGGCAAGGGACTCTGCATGCTGCTCCTGCCTGCAAGCACAGCTCCCATTGCCTGGTGACGGAGAACTGCAGCCAATGGGAGCTGCGGGGGTGGTGCTTTCAGGCAGGAGCAGCACGCAGAGCCACATGCCCCTTCCCCCCCAACCCAGGGCCACAGGGGCATGTTGTCCACTTCCGGGAGCGGTGTGGGGCTGGGGCAGGCAGGGAGCCTGCCTTAGCCCCGCTGTGCCACTGACCGGGAGCCAACTGAGGTAAGTGCTGCCTGGTGAGAGCCCGCACCCCAACCCCCAGCCCTGAGCTCCCTCCCAGAGCCAGCACCCCATACCTCCTCCTGCACTCCAAGCCTCTGCCTCAGCCCTGAGCCCCCTCCTGCACCCAAACTCCCTCCCAGAGCTTGCACTCACCCCCTCCTGCACCCCTGCCCCAGGCTTAGCCCAGAGTCCCCTCCCACACTCCAAACCGCTCGGCCCCAGCCCAGAGCCCGCACCCCTGCCCAAGCCCGGTGAAAGTGAGTGAGGGTGCGGGAGAGTGAGCAAAGGAGGGGGGATGGAGTGGGTGGGGCCTCGGGGAAGGGGCGGGGTAGATTCTGAGTTGCATTTAAATTCAAAAAATGATCTTGTGTGTAAAAAGGTTGGAGACCACTGCCCTAGAGTTTGGTCAAAATTTGGAATTTCCATTCCACTGGAAGTTCAGACATTTCAAAATTTCCTTTTGTCCCAAATCAGAATGAAAAGCTGAAATTTCCAACAAAGCAAAAATCCCCAAAAATTTGGAAATATTGAAATGCCCTTTTCAAAACATTTTGTTTAATTGAAACACTACATTTTGACTTTGTCATTTTGACTTCTATAGTACACTGCAATATAACGTAATGCAATAGATATTATGTAAAGTAAAAGTCAAAATGGTAGTCAACAACCAGTTCAAACTTGTTGAAATGAAGCACTTGGATTATTTTTAATCAAAAAATTTGATTAGATCAATAAGTTCCCATGAAATATTTCAGGTTAATCAACATTTTTCTGATGAGAAAATGGTTCTGTTGAAAAATTCCCAACCAGTTATACAAAAAAACAATTTTAACATCAACACCGAGATGTTTACAAAAGCAAAATCCTTAGGCTTTAAATCTTTTCCTTTTTTTTAACAGGCACTCTGAGTGCCTTTTAATCAGGAAGAAGGGTGGATTCAAGACTGCTGTTCTATTGGCTGCTCATTTTTTAAAGTGAACACAGAAGGCGAGAGATGCACAGTTAAAATGACTGTTAGAGAGCTTCATAAGGACTATTCCTCTAAACTGCCACACTTCAGCAGTGCCCCAGTGAGATGTACTCTACCCCACGTGTTAGAACTGCTTCCTCCACTAAACTAACCCCAGTTGTCAGCAGCTGAGGCTTGAAGGGCAAAGAAGGTCTCCTTGATCCAGACTCCACCTATGTCTGAGAGGAGTAGGAGCAGGAGCATCACTCCAAAGAGGAGATTAAGCACATTCCCTCCATAGTCGTCATAGTTTCGTCTTGTATCATGCTCCACAATTGAAGGCCAGTCACCAACCAGAATTGGGTTCCACTGATGCCCCAGCACTGACTGTGCACCACACATGGCATCTTGACTTACAAATTTCTCATTATTTATTATTTGGATTATCATAGTGCCAAGGAGCCCCAGTGACCCTGTTGTGCTAGGTGCTGTACAAACACAGAACAAAAGCTGGTCCCTGAAACAAAGCTCTTAGAATCTAACTATGAGACAAGAGACAACAGATGGATACAGACATACTGATGGGAGAGTACAAGGAATCAATGAAACAATATTGATCAGAATAATAGGCAGTGATCTCAGCACACCGGCAGCCTAATTGTTGTCAAGTTTTTTATAGGCATCACAGCAAAGGAGATTTTGAAGGATAATGAGTTTGTTTTGTTGATGTTTATGGGGTGCTTCTCCCAAGCATGAGGGCTAGTGTGGGAGAAAGCACAAAGGTGCTTATTTTAAAATTTTGCAAGTGAGCGATGGAGGCTGACGTCATGGGCCGATTAGAGGCGTAAGTAAACCTTTCCTTACTGAATAAGAGATAAGGGAGGCTGAGAATAGGTCTTGAAGGGCCTTGAAAGTGAATATATGCAGCTTATGTTGATACAATAAAGAAGAGGGAGCCAGTGAAGTGATGCAAAAAGAAGGGTGATGTTCAAAGTGAAGAGCGAGGAAAATGATCTTTGCAGCAGCATTTTGCATGGATATGCGTGTGGCAAGATTGCATTTATTTAGGCCAGAGAAAAGGATGTTGCAGTAATTGAGACATGAGATAAGAGCCTGGATGAGAGTTTTAGCGGTGCGAATGAATAGGAAAGGCTGTATCTTAGAGATGTTATGCAGAAAGAATCTGAAAGGCTTTAGACATAGCCTAGGTGTGAGGCTTTAGAGAGGAGATCTGTATCAAAGATGACACCCATCTTATGGACCTGAGGGATAGATAGAATGGTGGTGTTGTCCATTGTGATTGAGAAAGCAGGTAGTGGGAAGAATTGGAGGGAAGGGAGAGAAGGAAGGTTAAGAGCTCCGTTTTATCCATGTTGAGCTTGAATTCATGGGTAGACATTCACAAGATG